TAAATGCTAATGTGCGGGTTCAGGACAAGAAGCTTCCAGATTCACTAAACCCTGCTCTCGTCATCCATTGCCTATCGCCGTTTGGCTTTGCAAGAGAAAATATCAGTGGTGTGAATGTGTTTAAGTTGGACTTCATCTTGCCAGGAAATGACCCACACACTTGATTTCATGACCTTCCTTCGTGTCACATATGGAATGTGACATGTAGTATCTAGGTATGAAACTATTACGGATTTCCACTGAGTCTGTTTTAATTTCGAGTGGCGCCTTCTGTAGAATGTCGGCTATGCGTAGCCTTCTTCATCCGCTAGTTCTACACTTGTCATCTGTTGTAATGATTATCTGCTTGTTCCACCGTTCTCGTCTTTGTGGATAGTGGCTCTTACTCTGGGTCCTCATCTTCGACCTTCGAGCCTAGGCTGCCCCTAAAAGGAGTGTAGAAATTATATTAGCATGCTGAGGCAATTATTTTCACGCCATTTAATTAAAATGGCGACATTCTTTCTTGCTTGGACGTGCGTATTCTCAAATTATGCTGATCGTTCCGTGTTCATTTTCGAACATAGCTTTTCAGTTAATGACTTCTTCCGCGAATTATGGTAATTTTTTATGGCGTGTGTCTCTTCAGGATTTGGGTAATCATGACTCTTCTAGTAGTAAACAATATTTGGCGCTCTACCATCTTTCTTTGTCAGTTAAAATCGTTCACGCAAACTCTTTACGTCGATGTTACATAGGAATAAAGTGTCGCTTGAACATAGATCACCAGTGAGCAAACAGGGGCGATCCCATTTTGAATAAGTAGATCTCGTGATCATAAAGAAAACATATATATATATATATATATATATATATATATATATATATAGTCGACTCTCCAGTCGAAATTCGACGTATGAGGGTCAAGCAGATCAGTTTCCAGGAAACCGACAGCCCGACAACAGCACATGAGATTTGATTATAGTGGTGAAGGCTTCGTGCAGGACCATCTACACTTTTTGAAGGGCCGAATACAGAGACCTGGTACACTAAGTGCCACAAGGTCCCCAAACGACCCTCCGCAGGTTTTGAATTCAGAGTTGTCCTTCTCCTAGATCAGTTGCCATCCAAGGCTATAGAACCCAGTCTGTCCTGCTATTTTACCCATAGCTGGAGGGAGAGGAAGAGGAATCATACCTTTCTCACGGGTATTAGCACGTAAGTGAATGTAATGGATATATATATATATATATATATATATATATATATGGTAATTAGCGTGACGTCTAATCAATCACTATATGTAATCTATCCTCTATTACTATACGGTTCGCTGTTTTCTATATTATTCACTAATTCTACACTATTTCTATATACTGATCACTATACGGATCACTATACATTAGTTACTATTCGAGCGAGTATTATTGAGCAAGTACTATTAGTGCGAGTGTTATTTGAAGGCGTCTAACACCAGTATTGCTCAACGGCGTTACCATAGTTGTATCTGCCATTACAAAGTCTCGAGCCTTATCAAAATGACAACGAGTATTTGCTAACATTACAAAAGCCGACAAAAAATTCGTTGCGAACTTCTGACACTCCTAAAGAGGCATGGCATGTAGAATAATAAGAAACCACTCTAAACAAATGTCAGTGAGCTTGTACAAAAGAAACATAACACTGTTTACTGCATTTTTAATCTATCTGAATGACTCATATATGTAGATGTGTCATACTTATATACGCTTAGTAAAGAAGACGAGCCTTGAAAACTGTTATGGGACCTTACCCATAATAACATAATGGACTATTCCATACGTAATAAATACTGCGCTTCAAGAGGAAGCAGAGAGTTCAGTCTGAAGTCTGGAGTGAAATCCGTCAGGAGTCTGTCAGTCAATCAGAACGAGCGAGTCAGTCAGTCAAGTCACAGGCAGTCAGAAACACAGTCGCGTTCAGACAATTACTACTAAACCTGATTGTTCGTAATAACACTTTCTACTTCTCTGTATATATTCCTGTTTGTAATATATCTGTGTTATTCCATATACGTGTTCGAGTTCATCTTTATTGGTTCTACCTTGGACTATCACCGTGCTACAAAGAAACTGGACCATAACACAAACTAAAGCTACAGTATCACAAACAAAGAACCGTACCAAATAACAGAAACCATATCACTTAAGTACGTACAATAACAGCGACAATTAAAATGATATCGAAGCGTAAATAAATGACATATTCTAGATTTTGATGTTTCACATTACTTCAAACAAAAGGTTAAGAAGAAAGCTCAGGTCAATACTGGAAAGAGCTATGACAGTTACAGGACTATTTTCACGAATTTTTTAACCGAATGGTTTTATATATTTCAAACAAAAATAGACTTATAGCTCTGCCAGTGAATGGCAAATCGTTTCTCATAAATTTGCGGCTAATATTTTCATTACCATTAGAAATTATTAGAATGATTATTAGAATTATTAGAATATTAGAATATTAGAATATTAGAATATATTAGAAATTATTAGAATTATTAGAATTAGAAATTAGTAGAATGAAGAATACACTTTGTTCTTGTCTAAGTTAAATGAACTGTTATGCTTTCCTTATTAAATCTACCCGAATTGTCAATTGTCACTTTTTAAATTTAATTATAAGATTCCCTTTTAGTGTCAGCTTCTTTAAATCTTACCCGTTACTCCCATGTTGCGTCTGTGATATCTTCAATACCCGTTTATATCTTCACTGTTTTTCTTCATCTGTAAGGAAACTGTTAGCGATTCATTGTTATATAGACGGATAGATATGACACAGCAGTTCACTGTTTCTTTGTCTTCTAGAGACATTTTCTCATTGACTAATGCTTTGCTAATTTTCTAGAAGACATCTTTCGCTATTCAAATGTGCATTCGATTTTATGCATGGTATTTTCCGTGCGTTAAACTTCTGTACCCGCTGAACGCTAATATCTCCAGTTCAAAGCCTACAGTTTTGGCTGTCTCTTTTACGAAATGTATATTATCGCTTTTTTCTCACTTCTCACTTTCCATTGCTACCTTGTCTACGTATTTTGACTGTTTACCTTCTGTGTTTGACATCATCTCACCGTTTTCTTCTCAAGTGTTGTTAATAATAATAGCTAAATTATATTAAATAGTGCTAGGTTTTCTCGGTGAAGAAAGGCGTCTTTTTCTTATTCTTCCTTCGACACACACAAACACACACACACACACACACACACACACACACACACATATATATATATATCAATGAAAAATAAAAATAAATAAAAACAGGCAAAATAATTTAATACAAATAAATAAATAAACGACTTCCAGCAAAATAAGCGCCAAATGATAATACCCACAATGCACCACTTATCCATATATATAAATAGCCGAGAAAAAAAAACAACAGTCGTGGCCTGACGATTGCATCTAGCATGAAACAGCCTGTCGACTCTAAGTGTTGACTTCAACGTTCACTTTTATATTTACACACGCTCTATCTCTGATATTAAGCATTTATCCCATAAATATAGCATACCTTAAGAGTATATTTCTTTTATATATATATATATATATATATATATATATATATATATATATATATATAGTCATTCAAACAAGTTTCATTGATTAATATAGACATATTTTGCATATTTATTTTTATACTGATCTTTTCCTGTTTTTAATAAGGTTGAACAAGGGGCCATAGTTGTTTTTATAACCCAAGTATTTTAGAATTTGAGGTTTTTGTTCATAATTTTCTTGCTGTATCATATTGATATTTTCGTTCATTGTAAATCTGGACACACACACACGCACACACACACAGGCACACACACACAGGCACACACACACAGGCGCACACACACATATATATATAATATTTTATAATTTTTTTTTGTTTAAAAATATGATTCCTTCGCTACATAAGTGTTCTCATGTTTCAAAAACGAGAACTGAAACCATCCAAATAATTATTAAAATTAAGTTGAATTAAGGTGTTTAGTCCCGTTTCATCTTCAAGCGAAATTTTAGGAATAAGCTCTCTCTTGGTTTACGTGTGTTTTTAAGCATGGTTCGTTAAAAAACAAATTGAAATTCACTGCAATACGGTTTATATATAAAACACCCACTTGAATAAACAAATAAATAAAGAGATAATCAGATAGATAATAATAAAATAAAAAACCTTCCGACACATAACGACTTGTAGGCTAGTAGACTATTCTTTTTTAGAGAAGTGTATTTCTGCTCTGACTTCGTCACTTTAAACTTAGGGGTCAGATGCAAGACTTAATAAAGGAAGTCGATTTTGATTAGCTGAGTTAGCGTTGGAATAATAGATAGAGACAGGTTTTTTTGTCTTTGAAAACTGATCTGCAGTGGAGGAGGAGATAATCTCCACTGGCTAGGTAGGCGTGTTTAATAAAATCCTTAAGCTAAACTTCTCTTTGTTGATGTCTTTTTTATCCCCGAACCAAAACCAACAAGCGGCCGTGAAAGAAGGTAACGTTATTATAGTGGAATTTACCTCGTCTCCCTAGACCAAGACTCCTACAAAGGGGGTATGCAACATTATATGTGGCCAAGATGAGGCGCAGTTCGTGGTTACAAATCAGGAAAGTTGTAACTAATGGAAAGCACACGAGTCTCTACACGATCAATATCCGTTGGATCTCCGTAGAGAAGGGGCTATGCTGTTGAATGACCCGAAACTTCTAATGAACATTGGCTTTAAATATCAATGATGACGTGTCCCAAAGCTTCAAACAGATGTATTTCACTATATATATATATATATATATATATATATATATAGCGCACAGTGAGTGATGCTGTTATTATAATAGTTTTCGATGTAAAAAAAACACATTTACAACTTATACTAATGACACATATATATTTGAACCATATCATTTTGTGCTGACCATAATAAGAGCATGAAACTCAGAGTTTCACCTAACAGTTTGTAACAATTATATTTTTAAACTATCTATCTAGTTATCCATGTGTCTGTCTGCCTGCCTTTTCGTATCTATCTACGTATCTATGTTAGTCTTTTCATATCTATGTGTTTATCTCAATTTTTTCACATATCTATCTATCTATCTATCTATCTATCTATCTATGTCCGTCTCCTCATATTCATCTATCTATCTATCTATCTATCTATCTATCTATCTATCTATCTATGTCCGTCTATTCAAATCTATCTATCTATCTATCTATCTATCTATCTATCTATCTATCTATCTATGTTTTCCATATCTATCAATCTGTCTATCTATGTTTTTTCATATCTATCTATCTATCTATTCATCTATCCATCATCTATCTATCTATCTATTCATCTATCTATCTATCTCAGTCTTTCCAATATCTATCTATCTATCTATCTATCTATCTATCTATCTATCTATCTATCTATCTATCTATCTATCTCAATTTTTTCTATCTATCTATCTATCTATCTATCTATCTATCTATCTATCTATGTTAATTTTTTCATCTCTATGTATGTCCGTCTATTCATATCTATTTATCGATCGATCTATGTGTTTTTCATATCTATCTATCTATCTATCTATCTATCTATCTATCTATCTATCTATCTACGTTTTTCATATCCACCAATCAATCTATCTATGTTTTTTCATATCTATCTATATCAGTCTTTCCAATATCTACATCTATCTATCTATCTATCTATCTATCTATCTATCTATCTATCTATCTAAATTTTTTCATCTCTATGTATGTCCGTCTATTCATATCTATTTATCGATCGATCTATATGTTTTTCCTATCTATCTATCTATCTATCTATCTATCTATCTATCTATGTCCGTCTATTCATATCTATCTATCGATCGATCTATGTGTTTTTTATATCTATCTATCTATCTATCTATCTATCTATCTATCTATCTATCTGTGTGAATGTGTGTGTAAGCAGATAATGGGCTAAAGTTTTCAGAAGGAAATTATGTTAAAGTGTAAATTATAATGTATCAAATGTACTTTTCAATCAACTCCTTTTCAAAAACCTCACGTAGAAAGATCAAATGCCAACGGTTTTTATTTGGAAAATCAATCTTTATCAGAGCGAACGTCAATGTTTTTTTTCCCCATTTTCAATACTATAATCAATTTGGATATTAGAAGAGACGGAAATGAAATTTCCAGAAAAGTTATTCTTTAAATTGAAACAGAAAATAACGTGTTTTATTTTGCATGGAAGAAATCGATAGATGTTTTTTTATTCATGTCTCAAGGAATTATTTTTTAGTTTATACAAACATCGGTCATATGCCAAAAAAATAAATGAAAAGATCTATATCAGATCTCTTTTTTTTGAATGTCAATCTATCTATATCTCGTTCTATTCATATTTGTAAGACTTTTTTTTTTAGTCTCGCCAATTTCGTGTCAGTCAATCGATCTATCTTCACTGCGTTATTGATATTTCAGATTATCTTAATATCTATCAACTGAACAATGTTCCATTTATTTGCTTGACAATTTATTGCATTTAGTTCGGATCTATTTCATTTGGTTCTTCACTGTCATTTTAGGGCATTTAGTTGGAAGAGAATCGCGTGAATATAGACAGAATATGAATCCAATGCATATACAAAAACAGAAAGGAGTATAAGACAAGGGTGGGTCTTCTCACCGGACTTATTCAACCTATAGGCGATTCCGAGGGAATTAAAAATTATTATTGGGGGTGACCATCTTAACAACACAAGATATACAGATGACGCTGTGTTGATATCAAACAGACAGGAATTTAAAATCTATCCACAACCATTACAAGGGGACCTACATTTTCAGATTCCAAACCATTAAGAACGACATAAAATGGAGTGTAAGAGAAGGCTGTGTCTTCTTATCGGACTTATTAAACCTATATAGTGAAGTGATTCTGTAAAAAGTAGAAGTCCTATCAGGATTCATTATTGGCGGCCACCATCTTAACAACAAAAGATATACACATGATGCAAACAGACAGGAAGCTAAAATATATCCACCACCATTACAAGTGGACCTACATTTTCACATTCCAGACCATTAACAACGACTTAGAAAGTAGTGTAAGACAAGGATGTGGCTTCTTACCGGACTTATTCAACCTAAATACAGTGTGGCGATTCTGAGAGAATAAGAATTCCTTCCAGGATTCATATTGGCGACCACAATCCTAACAGTAAAATATATTCACATGTCACTGTTGATAGCAGACTCAGAAAGGTAACTAGAAGGTGGTCAAAGAAATGAATAGTTGTTAGGGAAAGGATGAATCTAAAATACGAATGGCATATCGGAAATGCCAGTATCAAAAAAGTACAAAATTTAAATATCTTTCGAATTGTTTTACCAGATGACGGAAAATGCGACACTGATATCCGAAGGCGCATTTGTATAGGAAAAATGCCATTCATAAGCTAAGAAACGTATTAAGAAACATGAAAATCTCCTGAGAAACAAAAGGAAAGATTCTTAACTGTTATGTCCTATTGACTTGGCTATATTTCTCACAGATAAAGAAGACATTTGAGACAATAGAAATATGGTTCTACAGAAGGATGCTAAGGACATCATGGACTGCACATTTTAACAATGACGAAGTTTTATAGAAAATTGAAATAAAAAGGGCATTTATATGTATGTAACATTAGAAAGATGCGTTTATAATTTCTATGGCACATTATGAGGAAAGAAGGATTAGAAAGTTTGACACTGACAGAATATATAGATGGCAAGATGGACTGAAAAAAATAATGCATACCTTTCCTTATCTACATGGTTAACAGATCAGGGATTAGGAGGGGGCGAAATGACATCATTTACTAAGAAGTACAAAGCACAGGAAATTGTGGAGAGCCATGATCGTCTACGTCCTGAAGAGACATAAACGTACATAATAGAAAGAGATAAATGTCAGTGCTACAAACAAACAAAAAAAAATCCAACAGGACATTTCTACTTTGAAGAATGTTAGCACCCTCTAGTTAAGCAACTTTTACTGCCTTGGAAAGAGTTCAGAAATCTGTGCGCGTCCTTGTAGGCGATGAATGGTTTTTCCAGCTACAACTCCCTTACCACCGACAGAACGTTGTAAGCAACGCGATGGAAAACGTTCACCCGAGCTACATTCACGAGTTCCACATGTTCAGACATTAACAGCTTGTTTCCTTCGTATTCCATTGATAAAACAGATGTTCTATTCGGACGGTTTCTTCTCAAATGCCTCTATTCCCGAAAGGATACTTTCCCGAACACTACAATATTAACCTCTTCAAATCTAAGGTCAACCGTTTCCAATCAAATGCATCATGATAATCTGCAATTACACAGCTATTCCTGTAACATTTACTAAAAACAAGCGTGAAATTTGTACTTTTCTTTGATGGGTTAGAACTTGTGAATCCGCATAGAACCTTATGCCAGACTAAGCACCTTTTAACAAAATCAACCGTTCTCTATCGAACGAATCCTGATGTCCATACTATACTATAATTTAGTAATTCTCTACCTTAAGTACTGTTGGGCCTTTCACTAGGTGAAAATTTAATTTTACAAAAGTATCAAACTTGGTCAGATAGGTGAGCGCTTACTAATCAATTTAGGATTCGTGTTTACTAATCAACATATGTTTTGTGTTTATTATTCAGCAATGGATTTGTGTTTACTAATCAACATAGGCTCAGTGTTTACTAATCAACATATGGTTTGTGTTTACTAATCAACATAGGGTTTGTGTTTACTAATCAACATGTGCTTCGTGTTTACTAATCAACATATGATTCTGTTTACTAATAAACGTATGATTTGTGTTTACTAATCAACATATGCTTCCTGCTTACTAATCAACACGTATCGTGTTTACTAATCAACATAAGCTTCGTGTTTACTAATCATCATATGCTTTGTGTTTACTAATCAACACGTGCTCTGTACTTACAAATCAACATATGCTTTGTGTTTACTAATCAATATATGCTCTGGGGTTTACTAATCAACATCTGCTTTAAGTTTACTAATCAGCATCTTCTTCGCGTTTACTAATCAGCATCTGCTTCGTGTTTATTAATCAACATATGCTCTGTGTTTACAAATCAACATAATCTTCATGTTTACTAGTCAACATATACTCTGTGTTTACATATGCTTTGTGCCCGACTAAGTAAATTGTAATTAATATAATAAATATTCCTAATCGTCCGGCAGTACGTGTCACAATTTTCAGATATCCAATGATAAGTAACATACGACTACCTTGTGAAAATCTGATTGGATTGAAATTTTTGAAGAAAGAAATGTATTCAAAATGTTTCATTTCCCGTCTATGAGTAAAAGATAAGCAAACACAATCGCCAAACATAATAACAAATATCCATTTACTGCTATAGTCGCTTCAAATGCTAATATTTGTTAAGTGTAATTACTTGAGATTTGTCTCTTAATTTGTTTTAAATGGAAATTCATTGACAATGTGAATCTGAAGAGATGAAAGCCAATAAATTCAAAGGTAAATATTAACACGTTCCATATTATAATAAAAGCAGCTTTTAGTCGCCATAATGGACACCATTCTTGATAAGAATATCGACTGCAAACTATTTGTGGAGAATCGTACAGCATTTATTGGTCTATTTGTCGGGTACGTTGCTCTAAATTAATGTTTAGCTTAAAGGCTTCGTTAACGATTGCTATTTAGTAGTGTTTTCGATTTCCTGAGAGCGTTCCATAATGTTGGCCTTGTATCAAACTAAGCTAAGCTTAAAAATTGCTACAATAATTGCCTGGGATAATGGTTTGCTAGCTAATTGATTTGATCATTGCTACTCAGTAGTGATTTGGATCATCCCTTATAGCTCCATACTCGTGGCCTTGTTCCAAACTTAGCTAAGCTTACTTGCATTATTTACATTATTCAGACAGTTATACTCATCTTCATTTACATATTCACAACAGTTCGGCCGTTGTACGCTCCGTCCTTCTTCAGGTGATTAGAATTTAGAACCGAACCCTTATTTCCTCCACCGAGGGCAGATTGTTCTAGTTCTACATGCCATGCCTCTTCTGGATGTCTCAGTAATTTTCCTTTAACACAACTCTCTAATTTTTGGTTCACCAATGCTGTGGCCTGTTACTGAACTCACAACGCTTTGGGTCTATTCACTGGATGAACGCTTTTATCCACTTGACACATGGCCCAGTGGATGAAGGCGGTAATTAGATCCAAAGAGATCAAGTCCCTTATTTTTGGCTTTGTGCTATACTAAGTAAACGGCAAACTAGCGAATTATTAATAGAAAGACGTTGTTTGAAAAAAATTAAGTCGACCCTACAGTGTGTGAAAATAGTATTTCGCTTGGGAACTGTTCGTGTTCTTCTTCAGAAGAAAACGATGCAAATAAAATCTCAGCTACAGTGAAAGATGGTTTTTCATTATTGAATTGTTGGTCTCAAAGGCTGAAAAAGAAGTACCACACTAAGAAAGGGATTTCTTCATGCTTCCTTGAAAATGTATTCGATGATTAAAACAAAAGTCGGGAGATTAACATTTGCCTCCTTAATAATTGATCTTTCCTGATCCACGAAACCGTGAAATGTTAAGTCTTTAGTTTATAGATTCGTGTCACCCCAAACAAGGCGATATAGCCGCACAGGCGCATTGGGTTGTTGAGAATGAAAGACGATAGCGTGAAGGAAATTGAGTAGAAAGGACAATGAAACAATAATATTCAAAGAGATAGGATATGACTGGCATTGCATTTAAACTTTTTCGATTATATACCGTTGTGCAAATTAATTTAAACAACCGCTTTCATTTCCTTTCTTTCACCATACGGTCAGTTTTAGACCCACAGGGTGTAATCGATTTCTATTTTTGCCTTAGATTAGGTGATTTGTGTGCAGTAATATGCAGT